GAATTTCTATACAAGATTTGATTAATCAGAAAAGGGAGATAGTAATGAGGGGTTATATGTACCAAAAATCAAAGGGAAAGAAGGCAGTTGTAAGGGCTTATCTGGTGCACCCACAAGCACTAGAGTGCCATTCACTTTGAGCAATTCTAAGATTTCCCCTAGGGAGTGCTCAGCTGATACTGTATCCAACATAAAATCCAGGCTTCTCTTCCCTGCCTGCAACATCATTTTATTATTATGTCAAGAGATAAAAAGAAGATTCAATATATACTAACCTGCATCTGATGTGGGTCGGTGCTGAGGATGAAAGCATCTGCACCCAAACGATGTTTGGCCTCATGTTCTTTAGAGGGGGAAGTGCTAATAACGGTGACATGATGACCCAAAACCTTGCCGAATTTTATAGCTATGTGTCCCAGACCCCCCATACCAACTATTCCTATCTTCTTCCCACTGCTCTCCATCAACTTCCCTTCTTTCATAGGGCTGTACACTGTGATTCCTGCGCACAACAATGGCGCCGCTGCGTCCATTGGTAGGTTCTCCGGGACCACCACCACATACCTTCATTTTCATTAATAAAATATATTAAAATGGTAAAAGAGAACCATGTGGGCTGGTTATTAATGGGGTATGGGTGGAGGAGTAAATAGCAATTAATAGGATAAATAAATAGTGGGTGAGTACCTGTGATCAGCAACCAATATCTGAGAATAACCACCGTAAGTAATGCTACCATCCCAAAATATGCCATTGTAGGTGAACTGGATCTGTTCACAGTAATTCTCTTCTCCTCCTCTGCAGAACTCACACTCCAAACAAGAAGCTGCCAAGCACCCAACACCCACTCTATCTCCCACTTTCAACTTCTTCACATTGCTCCCTGCTTCTATTACCACCCCTGTTATTTCATGCCTGCAGTTTTTAGCCGTACCCCTTTAACGACACACGGATGTAAAAGTAATCTCCTGAAAATTAACTTAATTAAAGAAAAAATTTGACATACCCAGGAACAACAGGGTACATGGTGTTCCCCCACTCATTCCTAACATAATGAAGATCAGTGTGGCACATCCCACAGTACATGATTTTTATGATCACATCGTTTGCGCCGTTCTCTCTGCTCACTCATAATCACAAAAACCATTACCATAATTAACATATTATAATATAACGAAAGTAGTACTTATGCGGAAATGTAATCAACCTTACCTCCTTTTGAACACATAGGGAGTTATGTTGCCCGAGGAATCATGAGCCGCCCACCCAGAAACAGTTCTCTGAAGCATTGAACTTGCAGAGGGGGGATTACAGCAGAAGAACAGATCGATGCAGATCAAAGAGACAAAGGCAGAGAGAGAGAGAGAGTGAGTTGCGATATATAGTGTAAGGTCGGGAAAGCATCTATCTTGTAATAAATCTAAAGTCAGTCGGTCAAAATTTTAGTCATTGGGTCTTTTCATATTTCACAGTCTAAGTAAATTAACATGTGCCCGTCATATGTGTTGTCATCCAAGCTTTTATGAGAACCCATTTTCAAATAAATGCATAAATTTGACTTCAGATTAATTCAAGTTTTGGACTATAGTTCTGGAATATCATATTATATATATACATATATAATTATATATAATTATCTATCACTAATTTCTATATAGAGAAATTATGAATAAATATATAATTTCTTATATATTATTTTCTAAATGTGGGCCGAAGTTTGGGCCTTTAGTTTTACCGTTAGACTGGGCCCAGCCTATGAACAAAGCTATACCTCTCAGCCGATACACTTTGAACAATTAAATACTCGGTAACAATTTTATTCTTCTTAAATAATTTTAATATTAAATTAAAAATATAACTCCGTCATAATATTTACATTAAAATAAATTCAAAACATTTTTTACAATAATAACAATTATTAATTTATTAAATATTTTTAAACATTAATATTAATAGAAGTATTGAATAACCATCATTCTCTTTATAAATAATTTATATGTACATCTCATATCAAAATATTTATATCATACTTTCTTTTATATATACAAATTTTATTCTTAGATCGAATAATTTCTATTCCTCTAAAATAGTAGTTCAGTTTTCTCCATTGCTCTTCACAAACAGACCATAACCAATTCTCGATTGTTCAAAATCTTATAACAAGATGAATATTGAGAATTTTATATATCAATGGCATGAAACCTGTTTCAACGTACATATGTTCTTATTAGTTTACAAACCTTTGATCCTCTTTTGTTTGGATATCCGAGTAACAATTCCATTTATATTTATGTACTTAAATCTTTATATGAAAATGCATTATTAACATTAAATTATTGAAGGTATCATCCTTTAATAGCTATCAACGGAATAATTGATCTCACAGTGATAATTCTTTATCCAAACTTAACTTGTTATTGATTTTGAGGGAGTGTTTTATAATTTTACCAAGTGCGATAGTTACTGGAATCCAGCAACTCTGTGATAAGCAAAACTCTAGAGTTTTTGTTGGCTCCAATATAATATAGACTACTTGCTTGTTATAAGATTTTAGATCGTTTCACTCGATAGATATAGATTTTATATCATATTTTAGTTAGAGTTTTCATTCTTTATTGTTGATTCTGATACAATAAAAGATTTTTTTACATTAATTCTAGATAAAAAACTGTAAAAAATATAAAAAGTAATACAAAAATGATCAACAAGTAAAGGAAGAAGATGAGGGTTTTCAGATGATGAAACCCTAAATCAATAACCTCAAAACTTTTTCTCTCTTCTTATTTTGAAAATAAAAAAAATAATATTTATATAAAGAATATTTATACACGGATATAAGGTGTGTACCAACTCCTTACCGACACTCAATAAAATTTATATCTTAACGTTAAATACAAATAACACAGTCTACATTAATATATATATATATATATACGCACACAACATACATATTTATACATGCATGAGTGGACTTCCAAACACTTTTATTTAGCCAATCTCTCATGCGCTCCACATGTCTCATTCTTCAATACTTTATATTACAACTCATTAAACTTCATAATATATCATAAGCATCCACACATATAGCAAAAAAAAGACAAATCCTTCATATTTAAATGGAATCTAAATAGTTTCTCTTTTAGCAATTATCAACGTAACTCTTAATATTGGATTCCTAATATGTAAATATACTTTACTTTATAAGAAACCACAACTTCAAGATAAAACATAATATGTTAATCAAATATAACATTGTTTTTAAAGTACAAGCTTTCGTTACTCTTTCATTTAAGAAATAATATGTAGACTGAAGATTCTCTCCATCTTATTTTATACCAATAATATTGTGAGACACATTTTTTTTTTAAAATAGGTTGAAAGCATATTACAATATTATCATGACATAACATAACATAAAATAGTGTCTTTCTAAATCCTTCTGACATTTGAAATTGAAAGGAAATAAATTTCTATTCATATCATTGCTTTCATTTCATGACTAAGCTTTCTAAAATTTTCTCACAATATTGACTAAAACTTTATATTTAAAGTTTTTCTATGTACTTGCCAAATGAAAAACACGATATTCTCAACACTTCTTATATAACTCAAGGCTTGACACCACAGTACTCCATTGTTAAAAACTCTCAAATCAGAAAAAAAAAGACCTACTACCACGAAATGATAATATTATATTAATATATTCAATTATATTCAAATTTAGTTGATGTTAAAAGTTTAAGATTTAAAATTCTTCTACGTACTTGCCAAATAAAACACGATATTCTTAATACTTTTATTACAACTCAAAGCTTAACGCCACAATATTCCACTGTTAAAGACTCTCAAATTATAGAGAAAAATGCTTACTACCATAAAAATATAATATTATATTAATATATTCAATCATATTTAGATTTAGTTGATGTTAAAAGTTTAAGATTTAAAGTTTTTCTCCTATGTACTTACAAAATGAAACACGATATTCTAAACACCTCTAATACAGCTCAAGGCTTGATCACAATATTCTATTGTTAAAAACTCTCAAGTTAGAGAGAAAAAGACCAGCTACCACGAAAGAATAGTATTATATCAATATATTCAATCATATTTAGATTTAGTTAATGTTAAAAATTTAAGTTTTATTTTTTTTATAAATATTTTTATTATAAGTTTGAACTTATAATATTAATTAAAAGTACTGATACTTTAATTACTAAATTGTAAATATTTTTTAAAATATTAATATATAACGATTAAAAATATTTTTTTAATTGAGAAAAATAATAAAATACTCAATAAACACACATTTACTTAAAAAAAAAAAAAAGACATGCATAGTTTACACAAAGATATATTCATTCTTGTACGTCAAAGCATCATAAAACTATAAATAGATTGATTTTCAAACCAAATAGGTGTTATAAAGTTAATAACAAAATCATGTTGTAACGGCTAAAGAGCTAATAATCATTATGAGTAATGTAAGTTTAAATTTACTATGATATTTTTTTTTATACTACTAAATCTCTCATTTTATGATAATATTTATTTATATATGTGGATGTTCAAGTTTCTATATATTTTATTTTTTAATTTAGGTAAATGTTTATTCCTATGTGATGAAATAATAGAATTGGTAAAATTACAAAGAAGAGTAATTTAAGTCTTATAAGCTTATAAATTTTATAATTTTGGAAAATAAATAAAAATCATATTTAGTTTGTACTTTTTATTTACTTATTTAATTTATAAGCCCCACGTAAATTATGAATTTTAAAGTGATTGTAAGTTAAAAGTTGATTAAAAATTACCAAAATATATATATATATATATATATATGACTGAAAATGTATACACTAGTTTTAATTAGAAATATTTTGGTATGAAAAGAATTTAACATATAGTAAAATTATAATAATAAAGTATAGTATAGATTAATAGTCCAATTATGACTTCTACCTGAAAAATATGTTATTTCCAATTTCAGATTTTCACACCCAGTACCCTAATTCTACTGTATTTCGTAAACCCTAGTCCCACTAAACCACTGATAAGTTGGGTTGGGGTATTTTGGTAATTTCAGTTCCCTGCTTCTTTATATATTTCCTAAGTTCCACTATTTGTTTTCTCTCTTTTTAACGGAATCTCTACTCTTCTTTCACTTCTGGAAATACACTTCCGCAGGATACCATATTATATGTGTATCGGCGGCTCATCAAATTACCCTACTTTACTCTTCTTTGTTTTATCGTTATCCTGTGCAATTCCTCGTATATTTTATTATTAATTTGAGATTATAGTTTGATCCAATCTTCTGCATTGTTAAGTTTTCGAACCCTAGTTTGGATGGCCATGACGGCTGATTCTAGCCACCATTCAACATGTGGCTCAGAGAATCAGTTCCGCGCCAAGAATTTGCCCTCACCGTGGAGCCAAGTCGTCAGAGGCGAACCACAGTCAATATTAGCCGTTAATCACTCGCCATACTCTCCATCCTCGTCATCGTCACCGTTGGCCGACCAGGTAGCTGTTTCGGATTGCTCACCAGCTTCCTCGCTACCGCCGCCGCTGCCGAATGCTGGTGTTTCTCTGGAACACGGCGACGAAAATAACAACAACAATGCAGCGGCTCGGCCCAAGAAGCCAGCGTGGAACAAGCCATCAAACGGTGTCGTCGATGCCGGTCCCGTAATGGGAGCAGTGGGTTGGCCTGCTTTATCTGAATCCGCTCGGGCCTCACCTAAATCGGCGGCCGACCCTTCTTCCAAGACCGTCCCCGATGGATCAATCTCAAGTTCTCAGGTTTGGTTTTGTTCCCGTGCTTCTCCCTTATTCCATGTTTGTTTCCCAGGAAAATTTAGTAAGGAAAAAGGTGATTGTGATTCTGGATCGTTATTCTCGACAAATTTGTAAAACCTATTCGATTCCAACAGATAAGTTGCCAATTTAATGGAAAATCCACTCTTTTCCTTTTACTCTCAATATTCTCTTCAGCAATTTTTTGCTACGCTATTGAAATTATTAAGAAATTTAATTTTTCTCGTTCATCAATCTTATATTTAAAAAATGATCCTGGCTTCGCAGAGACCTGTAATAACAAATACTCCTCAGAAGCAAATTACTACCGATGCAAACCCTAATTCTTCCCCAGCTCGTTTAATGCCAACTCGGCAAAGACCTGGAAAGCGTGGCGGCGGCGGTGGGGGCAATGGCACTGCCAGTGCACCTGCACAAAGCGTTTTCACTCAACCTCCTCCCCCGCCACCACCACCACCATTTCCTGTGTTTCCAATTCACCCTAGTAGTTATGGTGGTTTTGTGCCAACAATGCCGGAGTCTTCTCCAAGAGAGGGTTCCTACAGGGGCAATAATTGGGAAGCCAGATCAGTCGGAGGATATGTTTCTCAGCCATACACTGGCAGTGATCATAGGAATTCGGCGCGGAGGGGTGGCTATGGACCACGTGGAGATGGTCCTTACCACAGCTATTTTGGGGGCAGGCGTGATCAGGATCGTGGAAATTATGCAAATCCGAGAGATGTTCACATGCAGCAGGCAAGAGCACCTCCAAGAGGTTTTATAAGGCCTCCACCACCGAATGCAGGGCCTTTTGTTCCCCCTCCACCTGGCAGGCCCTTCGGAAACCCTATGGGATTCCATGGTAAGTAACTCCTCCCAAAGAGTATGTGATTGTTCCTTCAACGATGCAGAACTTATGTTTCTTTATTCTCCAGATTTAGTATATATATCTGCAATGCCTTTGGAGCCCTACAGGGGTGTGCCATTTATTACCCATGCACCTCCTCCTCCTGTAATCTTGCCGGCTCCAGAACCTCCTCTACCTGCACTCTTAGTCCATCAAATTGATTATTATTTCAGGTAATCTGAAATTTTTGGCAGCTTTTCAGTTAAAAGTAGTTAACTGTGTGGAATGAATTTTTTCTTCTAGGCTTGAGATATCAGCTAGATATGAATTGATGTCTTGTGAACTGCAGCGATGCTAATTTGATTAAGGATGAGTTTTTGAAGTCGAACATGGATAACCAAGGATGGGTCCCTATTTCTTTAATAGCAAGCTTTCCTAGAGTAAGTTATTTTGCAGTTAAAGCATTTTTCCTCTTTATTTCTTATAATAATCAAGCTCATGATTTCTCTCTCTTTTGTGGCTGCTTAAAGCTTACAATACACTCAATAAAATGTATAGTTGTTAACATCGAAAGTGGTCTAACAGAGATAATACTGCTCAGTTTTTTTTTTTTAATATTTGAAAGACAAATATAATTTTATTTCTGGTTGTTGATAGCACTTTCACATATTGGAGTATTTCATATTATTGTACTTCGTTATCTATATAGTTCAGTCATTTAACACTGCTTTTGACAGTTTCTACTTTCAGACTAGGTGTTCCTGAGCAGTAATGAATTGATATAACTAAACCTTGTAGAGCTTCTTGTGTCTGTCTAAATATATATGTGTGTATATGTAATAAGATGCAGAAGTTGGAACTGACAGCATTTTAAGTTGGAACTGACAGCATTTTTATTTTTTATCACGTATATAAGAGCAAAAACTAGTATCAGTGAGGTGTATTGGGTAAAAAAGTCCATAACCTCACGTAAGAACCATAGAGCTTTTTAGTTGGTATAGGTGGTCATATTTGTGATGTGCTTATGTTGAAAGTTAGGCAACGGAATATGCACAGAAGACCGGGAAATGGTGGCACGCAAAATTTAAGAAAAATACATAGTTGAGCAACAAGCAACATGTTTTGTAGCAGTTTCAACTTCCAACAAATTTTACCAGACAGAACGTCTTTGGGTAATGCCGTAATGGTAATCTAAGATATCTACAAAATCCAAGAATGATTATGTAGGTTTGTCAAATATCTCTCTTTAGAAAAACGTACAGAATATTTACTATAATCTTTGTCCATCCCTTTGATTCTATCTAACTGCATTGCATTCTCTTTTTCGTCATTGCAAATGCATTTTGAGACTTGTTTTGCACATTCCATGGCCTATGATTTCCAGGTACATGCAATGGAGCTGATTCATTAACATGGGGAAGTGGTATCTTCTCCGGTATATTTGGAGAGAAAATAAATTCCAAAGCCTGATGTTGAGATTGTTAACTATCTCTCTTGTTGTCTGGTGTTTTTATGTTATTCATGATCTCAGCAATGTTAGGAAGTGATATCTTTGTGCCGTAACACAGCATGCTTTATCCTGGAATCGCTATGTTGATTTAAAGTTTATATATCATATTTATATTGTGACACTGAGGCACGTGAGATAATTGAACTTTCCTGATTTGGTTTTAGATATCAAAATGAACTAAAACAGGCACTTATACCATAACAACCAGAAACTTGGTTAACTTTATTAATTTGCATCATGGAGCTCGTAATTAGCATTTTTATGTGGTGCTGAGGCTTTAGAAAGGAGCCCTTATACCTTTACATGTGAAAAATAAATTGTAGGGGTATTTTACCTCTACCTTTAATGGTTATCTCCTTGTGATTAAAAATTTTTACGAATCTTTTGCATGAGTCTTTTATGATGATTATGGTGGATGCTTTGGGTCCTTTTCTGTATGTCAATTGTTTCTTTACATAGATCAACTTTTTGCTAGGGCTGTGCAAAAGACCAAATCAGACCAATTTAACAGATCAAACCAAACCGATTTAGGAGGTCTGGTTCGATTAGTCAAGTTAAACTGGTTTAGATTCAATTTTTAATCAAAAACCAATTAATTTTTTGGTCGGTTTTTGGTTCCAAATTTACGTAACCAAATCGGCTGATATTACTGCATTCATTTTTAAATAAATGTTAAAGATATAATATTATAAAATATATATCATAATATAATATAGATGATGTATATATATAAAACATATTATAAATTCTGGAATCAATTAAATAATGATAAAAAATTGAGTTAATTTTGGATTAACTGAACTAACCAAGATTATTCAGCTGGTTCATTTTTGGTTAGGTCACTCGGATTCGGTCAATTTTTTAGGTTTTCAAAAATTTTTAACCGAACTGACTGAACACCCATATTCTTTGGTGGTTTATCTTAAAGGATTGTGATAAAGCCCGTTTGTGCGTCTGGCATGGATCCAGATGTATTTTTTTTTTTTTGAGATCTATCGTTGCTGCAATGAGCAAGACTTTTTAAGGGCGGGGGTTTCTTTAGTTGCTCTTTTTGTGGAACATAAATGGACGGCTTCAGGGTCTTGGACCACTCAATTTTTTGTAATTATGTATTTCCACTTCTGGATTGTTTCTTATCAAATATTTGAGACTTACACTTTCATGAATTTTAGTGTGGGTAGTATGTTGTGGTGTCAATTTTTGGTTCATTGTCAGTCTCATGTGGTTGACATAAGATATATCCCTCTAACTCTGACTACAAAGTGCCTATATCACATGGATTCATTCTCTTTTTTTCATTTTCGGGATAAGATTAAGGGCGTTGTCAAATTCAATGGGTTTAAACTTGGATGCCATTCTAATGTTTGTGGAATTTCAAATGTCCTGCTTTTACTGA